TTTTTGTGTAATGATTTTGTATCCTACAACTTTGTGGAATTCATTTATTAGTTCAAGGGTTTTTTTTGTAGTCTTTCAGTTTCTACATATGTGATCATATCATCTGCAAACATATAACTTTATTTCTTCCCCAAACAGGATTTAATTATATATATGCTGTATTTTATTATATTGTGACGCTCCAGCCTCACTCTGAGATTCACTAAGTCTGTGTTTACATGGGAAGAGAGAGAGGGTGTCACTGAAAGTTATATTTGCAAAGGTTCTCAGATCCTGTAGTCCAACCCAAGGTCACACCAGTTAGAGATTCAACAGGCATCTGAAACCTGATCTATACTGCTCTTAGCTTTCTAGGAGCAAAGCCATGCTGGAGCTAGCTTGGAGAACCCTTGCCTACAAGATATTTCTGGGACTGAGACTTGTTCCCTTTCTATTTTCACCCAAGACTTTCCTTATCTTAGGAAGTGGGGAATCTGGCTAACCCGCAGTGCATCCATCTGGCTAGAATAAACATCCTGGGTGGTCCGAGATGGAGACAAGCTTGATGAAGAGTCAATTTTGGATGTAGGACAAATTTTCCTTTGTGGAGCTGGGCTTTTAAACCAATATACACACAATTTCAGCCTGGAGAGTCAGTATGTCCTCCCAGCTGAATGCCCTAAAGCCATTGCCAGCTACTTGTAGTAGGGAGTTTGGAGGAAAATGCATACTCTGAGGGGTAAAACTGTACCCCAGACAGATGGATGAATTACAGAAATCAGGAGTCCTGGGGGGAAAAGATGAGCTATGGAAAGAGCACCTGTTGTAATTGAAGGTCTGAATTTGTGTTTGGCCATCTTTTTGCCTACAACAAATGTCTTACTAGCAATACCTGAGCTTTTAATAGGTGCCACCTGTGCTAAATGGTCTACGTTTGTTTTCCTTCAAAAACTGGCTGGACTCTTAACCACTTTACTAAACTCCTTTTACCTTTATTGAAAAAGTTTCCACAGTAAATGTAGGTTACACATGTAATTAAAATGACAATCTCGGGCCTCCCAGGTGGCGCAGCGGTTGAGCGCTGGGTTGCGAAGCTGCCCACGGCCTCCGAGGCGCCGGTTCGATCCCCGGCTGCTCCCCGGCCACCGAAGGAGGGTACCACATGGCGCGCAGACCTCTCCTGCCGCCCGCTGCTCCCCTCAGCAGTGTACTTCGGTCCTTCTGCCTGCTCTGCTCCCCGCTCTGGCTCTGGTGAATTCTCTCACCCTCCCGGCTTCTGACTATACCCAGTGCATGTATAAACCAAACAAACAAACAAATAGATAAATAAGACATGCCTCTAGAAAATTAAAAAAAAAATAAAATAAAATAAAAAAAAAAAATAAAATGACAATCTCAGAACTCCACTTGACCTTTAGGCCACCATAGATTCCTGGAGACCAAACGGTGAAATCAAGTGGTGTAGTGGGGATTATTGGGTGGCACTCCGTTTTCTTCCTTTCATAATTTGGAAAGATGAGGGGTTGTCTTCCCAACCCATGTTTCCTGATAAGTCAGTGTCTTGATTATAAATCATCAGGTCCCTAGAGCAGTAGCGTTAAAATTTCCTGGGTACAAATTTCTGAGGTCTGGGGATTTGCACTTTGGTATATTCTCCTGCCAATCTGGATGCATATTAAGACATGAGGATTCTGTCCCTATTCTGCCACCTGAAAGCTGTGTGGTACGGGGCAAGTTATTTCAATGGTTCTGCTTTTCTCTCAGTCCTATGCTGAGAGGTCAGATAACAATAAAGAATAACAGCAACCTGTGGATTTCATTTCCTTAAGAGGTGACTATCACTGTTCCCATTTTGTTGAAGAGGAAACCAAAACTTAGAGTGGTGAATTAACTTGCCTATGCTCACTTTGCCAATTGACAGAGCCAGAATTTGAATCCAGGTTCCATTCATAAAGTGCTTTGGAAAACTGGTAACACTGAGAGCAATGATGGTCACTATTTCCACATCCCCAGAGTGCACTTTATTCTCTGCTGCTCCTGAGTCTAATGTAGTGAGGTTTCAGCTACACCCAGGCCGGCTTGGCCCCTGCTCTATGGGAGCTTTCACATTAGCAGCTGGCACACTAGTGTTCTTTTAAGATCCAGAGTCTGGAGGAGTCCCACCCTGGATTCTCATTCATGGGATGGATGTTTCCCTGCTGGGGTCCATGAAGAATTTAGTTTGAAAAAGTGGTAGAAAGAGGTCTTCCTTGATCATCACTCTAAAAAATTACCCCCACCCCCACCCCCACCCCCATCACTTTTTCTTTTTCTCCTTTTTTACTATTGGACATGGAGTCTAAGTTTACATTGATACCCAAGGCATCATCATGGCCCTTTCGTTAAGAATAGGGCCATAGAGGGCCTCACTGGTGGCACAAGGGGTTAAGCACAGAACTGTGAAGCTATCCACAGCCTCTGCAACATGAGTTCGACATCCCTGGCCGGCCAGGGAGCTACCCACATGGCACAGCAGACCTCTCCTGTCTCTCCCACTGCTCCCCTCAGCAGTGTATTTCAGTCAATCGCCTTTTCTTGTCCCCACTCTCCGGTGAATCCTCTCACCCACCCCCACCCATCCACACCTCTGGCCTGTACCCCAGCTCTTGTATGCATAAATAAATAAATCTTTAAAAAATAAAAAGTACAGGGGCATAAAGAGGGCATCAGGCAATACATAGCCAACTCAACATATGTTCTCAAGGCTAGGGAGCAGAAATGCATTTAAAAGCTATTTCCTGAAGGAGAGACTGTTTCAGAGGGATAGATGTCCTTAGGTAACAGTCCCAGCTGCAGAAGAGCCCTAGAAACACTACCCGTCGACTTTCATTCTAGTGGTGTTTTTAATTTAAAAAAAAAAAATTTTTTTTAAAGATGTATTTATTTATTTATTTATACAAGCACTGGGTACAGTCAGAAGCGCGGGAGGGTGAGAGAATTCACCAGAGCCAGAGCAGGGAGCAGAGCAGGCAGAAGGACCGAAGTACACTGCTGAGGGGAGCAGCGGGCGGCAGGAGAGGTCTGCGCGCCATGTGGGACCCTCCCGTGGCCGGGAAACAGCCGGGGATGGAACCGGCGCTGCAGAGGCTGTGGGCAGCTTCGCAACCCAGCGCTCAACCGCTGCGCCACCGGGGAGGCCCATAAAAAATATTTTATTTATTTATACAAGCACTGAGGGGAGCAGCGGGCGGCAGGAGAGATATGCGTGCCATATGGGACCCTCGCCCGGCAGCTGGGGATCAAACCAGAGCTGCAGAGGCTGTGGAAAGCTTCGCAACCCAGCGCTCAACCGCTGTGCCACCAGGGGGGCCCTCCAGTGTTTTGTTTTTTTTTTTAAAGATTTTATGTTTATACAAGAATTGGGGTACAGGCCAGAGATACAGGGGGGTGAGACAGAGCGGGGAACAGAACAGGCAGACAGACCGAAATACACTTCTAAGGGGAGCAGCGGGCGAGACAGCAGAAGTCTATCCTGCCATGTGGGTTTCTCCCTGGCCAGCCAGGAATCGAACTTGTGCTGCAGTGGCTGTGGATTGCTTCATAGGTTGCGTCTTAACCCCCGTGCCACCAGGGAGGCCCCATTCTAGTGTTTGCTCATGCTAGGCCTCAAGACACATTGAGGCACAAGACATTTAGTTTCAGTTCTTTGAAAAGTATAAGAAGCCATCTCTTCTGAGACAGTTGAACCATCCAAATCAACTTCCCCTTTTAGGGGGATATGAATATTGATTTTCTGGGTGTAAAGTAATGGAGCTTATTTTGAAGAGTCCGCCCAGTGTGTTCCTCCTGACAAGTCCCAGGGCCAGTTTGAGGGATACTGACAGTAAAGTGGGAAAACCAGGCCCTTGGATGGATAAAGGAAATTTCTCCTCAAGGAGAGTGAGCTGTGGGAGAGACTATAGACATTCTCCACCATGTGTACTAGGGAGAAATCAGGAAGAAACCTCTAGTGCTTAGTCAAATTACCATATGTAGCTCAAAACCAATAGGTGGTGATCTGCCTGTCACTAGTTCAAATAAGCTCTGGGCAGACCTCAGGGTGCCCTTTCAACAAGACTTTAACTCACACTTAATACTGGTGCACGAAAAAGGCACCTCACTTTTTATGTGTACAAAAATGAAGAGATAATGAACAGATGTAGGCACAGAGCAAGACCATTTACTACTGTTGCACTTTGATTTGCCTTGTTTGGGCTACAGTAAACTGTGTAGTCATTTCATTGTGACAAATTCACCCCAGTTAGCTTAAGCAAAAAGGGGAATTTACAAGCTGGTAAATAGGGAAGTCCAGAAGTGGTACTGGTTTCAGAAATGACTTCGGTGTCCATCTCATCTGCCACTCTCCGGGCTGGCTTCACGAAGCCCTGCAGTCATGCTTTGCCCCACAGGGAGGGGAAGACAAAGTTTCCAGCTCCCTAAGTTTTCTCAGAGCTTGAGTGTTGATCCCAGTGAACTTACTGAGTTTGGGATGCATTTGCCTGCTATACATTGTGCTCAATGGGCGTGAAATGGCATTAAGGCCAAGAAAATAAGGATGCACACAGCTTAACACAGCTGGCTACCAGCAGGGGTAGGGAAAGAGAAAGAACTCAGCCACAGCCCTGTGCCCAGATGTTGGGATCCAGGGTCACTATGGATCAATGAAGATTTCTGTTTCTACTTTAAAAAATAAACAGGGCCTCCCCTGGTGGCGCAGCGGTTTAGCGCTGGTCTGCGAAGCTGCCCGCAGCCTCTGTAGTGCTGGTTCGATCCCCAGCCACCGGTGAGGGTCCCACATGGTGTGCAGACCTCTCCTGCTGTGCCCACTGCTCCCCTCAGCAGTGTTTCGTCAGTCTGCCTGTTCTGTTCCCCCCTCTGGCTCTGGTGAATTCTTTCATCCTCCCGCACTTCTGACTGTACCCAGTGCTTGTATAAATAAATAAATCTTTTTTTTAAAAAAGATAAATAAAAAATAAACAAACCAAAAACCAAAAACAACTTTATTTGACAAGACAAAAACAAGTTATTTACAGTAGTTTTTTGCTCAAATAATTCACCGGGATAACTGCTTCTCCAGGTTTGTCTCACAACGAAACCAAGCAGAGGCTGTCCTAGCCCCAGCCTGCCCATCTTGCATAAGGGGGGGAATGCCAACTAGAATTCAGCAGCATGGCTCCTTCACCCCTCACCCCCTCCACAGCTCAGTGCACTGTGGGAAGGGAAAGTCCCACCCCAGCCCAGCATAATTCCAGAGTTTCCCGTTATAAGCAACTTGCAACAGTCACCAGACTTAGGCTCATAGATGGGTGGGACGGATGAAACTGGACAGACAACTGCTTCCACCTTGAAGCTGCTTTGGCCATTCTTCCCCAGCTGGGCCTCAGGAGGGTGAGGATCCCTGATCCCCCTGGGGCATGCATGGACAAGGCACAAGAGGAATAAGCTAGGGTAGCAATGAGAGAGCCTAGGAAACTTGCTCAGAAAGCAAAGCTCCCTCTCCTTAAATGACCAATCCCCACTCCCACAAGAATGGATGGGCCAAGTCACTAAGCGGGGAGCTTCCTTGAAGCCTTCAGGGATCATCCCAGAAAGGGCAGAACACATGTTGCTGCCTTTCTCCCACCCAAGCCAGACAATCCGAGGAACTTCCCCTTGGGCCCAACATGGCAGCCTTTGGATCTACAGGCTGGGGATCCTGACCTATCTTTTGGTCCAGTAATGATGTTATTCAGAACAAAAATATTTTGGCTAGTAGTAACCTAGGATTAGTGTTTCTTAGGATATATAAAGATGGGGTATATTGCTGTTTAACATTTTCAGCAAAATAAGAAATGGGGGGAAGACTAAGACCAACTGTGATCAGTTTCACTGTGGAGTTCAGGGCAGGGCCTGAACAACTCCAATTTAAAGGTGCAACACAAAGACAGCGAACAGGCTTCATAATGCGATTTCCAGCCCCAGCTTCCTCTAAAGGCAAATCCTCACCTACTGGAGGCACTATTCCCTGCTTCCTCTAGGACTCTTCCTGCCACCAGCAGGAAAAGTAGCTAAAAGCTTGAGTCAACTAAAAGGGCTTCCTGGCCAGTAGATGGCTCACTTCTCTCCAAGTAGGAGCTACTGGCAGCCTTTGACATTCTGTCCCCACTAATGCAAGTTCCTAAAGGAATTCAAAACTCAGGCTGCAGGGCAAAGCTTTCAAAAATAAGGAAGGGGGAAACATTAAAGAGAGAGAGAGAGAAAGAAAAAAAAAAAAACCCATTGCCTCAGTCTAGCTTACTTCCCCCACCCCCCCCAAAATACAGTAAAAACAAAAATTAAAAAAAGCAAACAACTCTCTGATTTATCATCCTTCTCTGCTCTGCACCTAGGTTGGATCAGATTCAGCTGAATCCTCACCAGGCTTCTTTCTGTGCCTGACACAGAAAAGCCAAAGCCCACACAATTTTTTTTTTCTCCTTTCTCTTTTTGGTAAACCAAACCAACAAAGAAACAACTATTTGGAATTTTGCAGAGATTTAGCTGGTCCCCAAACTAAAAATACTCCTTCCTCCTAAAACACTCACCAGTTGCAGTGGTGGATCATTCCCAGTTCATCAGACTTCCCTTGACAAACTTATTCCCCACACCTGGGCTAACTACTCCCTTTGATGCAAACCACAGCAAAATGGGAAAAAACACAAAATTTAGTGGAAACCTAACCATTCAACTGGAGTCAGTACTGTTACATCTGCTAAGTTCCTCTTTTGATCACACTCATAAACTTGGAATGTCCACACTTGGCTTAACAAAAAGAGCCCAGCTCGGGCATATTGGACCCAGCATAGGTCTGAACTTGGCAGGTTTCCTGTGCCCAGCCCAGGAAAACAGGCTGAAACAAAGGTGTCCTGGGGAGTCTCTGGAGAAGCAGCAGCAGCACCATGCCTGTCTCCCATCTCTTGGTCTCACCACTGAGGAAGCCTGGAGAAACAGGAGAGTCAGCAGAGGAGAGGTCCCCATCACAGTGCAGTGACACCAGCTGGTGTCTTCCTGCTGAAGGCCTCTGGACAGAGGAGATGATCCCGATGTTTGGCAGTGATCCAAAGAAAACCCTCTGTATGAAAGGGAACCAAAACGGAAACCCAGGACAGCTGGCTCAAGCCTCAAGCACCCCTGTTGACGGAGGCCTACTTGGGGTTTTCAGAGACTAAAGGGATAGGAGTGTGCAGTAATGGGGGCGATGGGTCCTGCTGCTTCTGAAGCTCCATCTCAGCAGCCCTCTGTAGTGCCACCTCTACCAGCAGCTGGAAGCTACTGAAGTCGTCCTTGTCCTGCTCTGGGGGTGTGGGCGGAGGTGTGTTGAAGAGTCCACCTGTGGGGCTTCCAGCTTCAGCCCTGGTCAGTAGGGTGAGTGTGCTACCAGGGGTCACCAGGGACTTAGGGGGCTCCAGGTCCCCTTGGGGGAAAGGAGCAGCAGGCTTTTCCCCTTGGCCTGAGTGGAGCGGCATGGAGCACACAGACAAGGAGAGCACATTGGTAGGTGCTGGTACCGACATAGCCAGCACTGAGGGGCTGTTGCCGCGGGGGAGGGCCACATCTGAGGCCTTACCCCCGCGGCGGGAAATGGTAAATTGGTTGGGGTCTTTGCCGTCCTTCCGAAGCATGTCTGGGAGAAGTCGCCGCCGAGCGTTGATGAACCAGTTACATATCTAGAGTAAGCATAAGAGACCAATCAGTTCACTCAATTAAAACCAGCTATGAAGCACCTATGTTCCAGGCCCCAGGAATACAGTTACAAACTACAGACACAATCCCAGCCCTCCAAGAGGTTCATGTTGGGAAGAGAGAGTTAAGAAGTACACAACTAGGCCTCCCTGGTGGTGCAAGGGGTTAAGCACCACACTATGAGGCAGTCTGCAGTCTCTGCAGCATGAGTTCAATTCCCAGCCAGCCAGGGAGCAACCCACATGGTAAGGCACACCTCTCCTGTCTCACCCGCTGCTCCCCTCAGCAGTGTATTTCAGTCAATCTGCCTGTTCTGTTCCCCACTCTGTCTCTGGTAGGTCCTCTCACCCCCCCCACATCTCTGGCCTGTACCCCAGCTCTTGTATGCATATATAAATAAATCTTAAAAAAAAAAAAAGTACACAACTGAATATAAAATTGCAGCTGTGATTAAGCTACTAGAGAGAATAATGGGAACACTCAGGGTAGTCTTGAGGAAATGGCTTGTAAGTTGAGATCTGAAGGATTAGTGGTTGAGGTAGGAGTTGGAAAGGGAGCAGTCTGATTTAGAGGCAACAAAGGCCTTGTGGCAAGTGGTAGTGATAGGCCTATGAAGAACTCAGAGAAGGAAGGCCTATGTGGCTGGGGCTCAGAGTGGTAGCTAGAGGCTACCTCTTCTGGTGGGGACTTGGTTGTTTAGTCTAAGGGTAATGGGGAGCTATGGGAAGGTTTTAGGCAAAGGAGTTACTTGCTATGTGAAACACAGGGTGGAAGCAGGGAGGAAGGTTATTAGTTCAAGGTACATGATGAGATGACAAATATTTATCCTTTTAGGAAACTGGAAATGACAGGACCTGGTGCCCAGTTAGAAATGAAAGAGGGAGGTGGCGACAAGGGCAGTTTACTCCTAAATGCACTTGAGGGAGGGGAGAGAGAAGGGGGAGGGAGGAAGGGGGAGAAAGAGAGTGAGAGAGCAAGTGAGAGCTAGAGAGAGAGAGAGAGAGAGAGAGAGAGAGAGAGAGTGTGCGAGCGGCGCTCGCAAGAGAGCAAGCGAGCGCCTACAAAGCACCAAAAGACTACCAGGTAGAAGAAAACCTTTGCAAGCAAATCCAGGATCTATCTGAATGTGCACTGCAACCAACATCTTTGTCTTTTCTACATGCTGCTGAGAAAGCTACCATTGTCCTTAACCCCACATTCCTGTCTAGTTGATTGAGTTCCCCCGCCCCCCAGATTTATATATATTTATCAAGTAAATATTAAATTATTTCAAACAAAACAAAACCCTTACAATATCATAAGAATTTAAATATTCATGGTGATTCCAGATTTAAAACAATGTCCTGCTTGAGGATGAGTGCATCTGGACTGTTAACCCACTAAATTACCATCTTTGAATATCAAGAAACCAAAAACAAAAGATGACATTTTGAAAAGGAAAATGATAGTTTCAAAGTAAAATTGAGTCTTTAAAAGCATTGAAATTTTCTAAAACGTCAAATAGAAAGCCTAAGTATATGGAAAAAGACTGTGCATCTAACTAAACAAAGCTGAAAAACAGGCACAGCAGACCTTTCCCGGATCACCCACTGCTCCCCTCAGCAATGTACTTCACTTCGGTCATTCTTCCTGTTCTGTTCCCCACAATATCTCTGATGAATCCTCTCACCCCCCACCCCACGCCTCTGGCATGTACCCCAGCTCTTGTATGCATAAATAAATAAATTAAAAAAAAATAAGTTGAAAAACAAGTAACTCTTTAGGTCTCTCATATACAGACCTAAAATGAATGCATGCAGATTTTAAGAATTACAACTGCTCACTAATTCTTTTATAACTAAATTAAGTGTACCTAAAGAAATATTTCTACTCTCTTTATACGTACATACAAATACATGTACACGTCTATCGCTACACATACTTCCTAACATATATCCAACAAACAATTGTATACATAAACTTTCAGGATACATAACATAAAGCAAGATAATTTTTATAAGCAGTTTTTCTTAAGGGGGGGTGGGGTAGCTGATTGTTCAGATCGATCTTTTTGGACCCATACAGTGGGCATGAAATTTCTCACTGTAAGTGGTATACTGCAAAATCAAGGCAAGTCTGGACTCTCTTTTAATATCTCCCAGCTTCATGGCTCTCCAACTGGTGGTTTCATTTTCTAAAATGCAGTGACTTAGTTCTATTCTAGAAAACTTCCATTTGTCTCCTGCTGCCTCTAGGATCAAGTCCAGACTCCTGGGCCTCCTCTGTCAGGATCTATTTTTCCAGTCCTTATATTCTTCTGTATGAAGATTACTCACTCAGGTCCAATGATTTTTCTCCCCATAGCTTCATGCCTTTTGCACACCACATTCTTCCTTTCTGGAATGTCCTCTTCATCTGGAGAATGTCTATGCCTCTAAGTCTTGACTGCTCTAAGACATTAGCAATAGGGCCAGAGTAGATGGATTAAAAAAATTCTCTGTTCACCTGCAGCTGGTATAGGGCCTAGAACAATCTCTCCTCACACACAAAGGAATGACACCATGAAGGGAGAGAGGACTGTCCTGCGTTATCTGAAGAATATGAACAGTTCCTGCGTGCCTGGTGTAGCAGGCACCTAAATGGTGGCATCACTCTTGACAATCCAAAAGATCAGTCACTCATACTCTTTCCTCTGATTAACTCCTAACAGCCTAGACAGTAGTTTACTTGGTATTATTTAAAAACAACAACAGGTTAGACTAGAAAACAGTTTCTTAGTTGCATGGTTGGTGTAAGCTTATTATTACAAAATGTTTTATAAAACAACTTTCCTTAAATAGGTAAACATAACCCTTAACCTCTGTTTCAAGTCCTTTTTCCTCTTGCAGTTACTGGAGTGACACCACAGGGGAAAAGCTTCCTAATCACTTTCTTGCCAACTCAGAAGTGGGAGAGATGAAACATTAGAAACTGGGTGTGTACAGGGGAGGATGTGGGTGTGGTCTCTTAGACACCCAGGCATCTTTAGGGAGTCTGAATGGAGAAGAATTTACCAATAACTGCCATACACTAAGCATTCCACATGGATACAATTTTTCTCTAATATTTACTCTGTCCTATGAGTTTCATTAACTGTCATTTCACTGATGAATGTACATAAAGCTCAGCCTGGAGAAACCAGGTTGAATTCCACTTATAGCCAGGGACCCCCAAGCCTGGGCCTTGGGATCTAGAAAAGCGGTAGTCGCTCTTCTCTGGATCTTTCTCTGAGGCTGGCCCCAGAGTCCAGCTAATTCTAGTTACTAGAAGTCAAGTTAGTACTTCTCACTTTCCTATTGTTTTCCCTTTCAAGGCTTTGTGCTATTTCAAATAATATCTACTGCATGCTTACATGTGCCAGACCCAGTGCTCAGTGCTGTCGATGCCTTTATGAATTAAATAGACATGTGCTCTGCACTGTGGAGCTTAAAGTCCATCTACAGGAGCTGGAAGGGATCATGCTCAGAGATATAAGCCAGAAAGAAAAAGAAAAATACTGGATGGTCTCAACTCATAGCAGGAATTTAGAAAACCTAAATAAGGGACCAGGAAAAAGACTAATTATAATAAAGTTAAAATCAAAATCAACAAGCAACTATAAACCAGAGATACACTACAGGGTGTGGGGTGGGGAGGAGGGATTAGGGTCAAAATAAGGGGGATGGGAATTATAACCAAGGTGAAAATGCATACATTGTACAAAAATGAAAAATAATGTAAAAAATATATAAAATAAAATAAATCGTTGAAAAAAAAAAATAAAGTCCATCTGGATGTGGGACTGGCAATAAACAAATAGAGCGAACAGCCACCCGTAAGTGCCAGGAAGGAAACAGACAGGAATGAAAGGGTAGCATATAAAGATAAGCAAGTCTTCTGTAGATAAAAGGTCTAGAAAGGCTGTGACCTACAGGATAAGAAAGAGCTGACTATACAGAAGGCTGTGGGAAGAATGTCCTAAATAGAGGGGAAGCAAATACCAAGGTCCTGAGGCAGGAAAGGGTTTCATTTAAGGAATTGACAGAAGGGGGAATGTGCTAAAAGGAGGGATGATCCCACTAGGGCAGAACGCCATGACAGACTGCTAACGGGGGCCACAATCTCACACTCAAGGTCCTTCTCCTCATTTTGTCTCTTTCAGTTTATCAACAGATACAGAGCATGTACTAGCTGCTGTAAGGGGAAGAAAGGACAGGAACCCCTCCCCTACCCCTCCATGTACTGGGATGTTGGGAACTGTGTGGGCTGCAGCAATGCCTAACATTCCTTTAATGTTTGCTGAACAAATCAAAGGCCCACTTCTCTATCGGGCTTTGGTACCAATTTCTACCTCTTTCTATCATCCTCCTTTAAAAAAAAAATATTTATTTTACTTATTTATGCATACAAGAGTTAGGGTGTAGGCCAGAGATATGGGGGATGAGAGAATTCACCAGAGACAGAGTGGGGAACAGAACAGGCACATCTACTGAAATACACTGCTGAGGGGAGCAGCTGGTGAGACAGGAGAGGTCTGCTGTGCCATGAGGGTTAGCTCCCTAGCCGAAGATCGAACTCCTGCTACAGTGGCTGCCAAAAGCTTGAAAGTGCTAAGACTTAACCCCTTGCGCCACCAGGGAGGCCCTTTATCATCTTTCTTGACCCATACCTTGTAGGCCTTTGGGAAGGGCCACCTTCTTATAGACTCTGCCTGTATGTAGTCACGGGGAGCCCACTTGTGATAAGAACTAGTACAAGGAGCTGCATCTGTCACCCGTCCCAAGGATAACACTAGGCACTGGCCCTGTCAGGATGGTAAAGCTCCTGGGCAAGGCAGAGTTGGAATCTTCTTGTGGCCCTTCTCTCCCTTCTCCAATCATGTCTGGAACTGGGCTCGTTTACACCTCTTCACCCCTATGGTTCTGCCAGTACAAGAGAGCACACACACAACAGTACACCTTAGTGGACACTGGTTGAACTTAGTCCT